GAATGGCATCATATATGAGAATCCAGGTCAAAGGCCTCTAGGATTCAGATATTGTCATCTGTAATTTTGAACTACTGATCAGATGGATAGTAGCAAGTTGGACTATTTTTCTCAAAATTATGTTATCCTCAGGGTGATATGAAAACTAGAACAAATCCATACATACAACATTATGGTCTAGCTGAAAGCAGCATTGAAATAGTAAAATCAATGCTAAATTGGTTAATAACCAATTAATAAACATCTCTATCTGTGATTGGATACAGAGTCAGAAAGAAGAAATTTAATAGTCAATTGCTTATTCATCTGTTGATGCATGGGATAGGCATCTCATATGTGATACATACCTGTAGTGGTTACATTAAGCTATGGCTGATGCCCACAACTATGCTGCTACAGAAGAACAAACAAACAAGAATAAAAACAGATGGGTAGCCTTTTAGCTTGGGTTGGATGGCTCCTCATCCATTTCTAAGGCCACTTGGCCTACTGTTAGGAGACTCGGTGGTCGTATGGATCTAAACACACTGTTGGATCTTTGGTCTTATGTTTGGAAGGAAGAACAACCATACTTGAGTAAATAGCCCTATTAAAAACACTGCACACTAAAGCCATCTAAAATAACACTTAGTATTGTGGAACAAGAGCAGAGGTACATTAAGCCATCAGTTTGAGCTCTCTCGGGTATTATATCCAAGTTACAATAGAGTTGGTTCTATTCAATACAATTTTGGATTATCATGAAACATGATCTTACAGAACAAGCTAATTTACCTTTCAACTCATCTAGTACTTTACTATCAGGAAGTATTTTTTTAGTAACAATATTATAAAATTAAAATAAAACTATTACGAAATACTTATATACTATCATGTTTTGAATCCAAATCGTTTTTATGCAATTCTTTGTTACAAAACAGTGAGATCAAGTCTAAGTAAGAAGAAAAATTATTTTATTAAATTTGTATTCTGCACATTAAACCATTATTTCTCTCAGAAAACAAGTTACTAAAAAAGTATCCTCCCATTTGGAAAAATCTTATATACATGAACTTTCAAATCTTAATTGTTACATTTAGATTTTATATGAAAATTATAGTAGAAATTCTAATCTAGAGAAAATGAGTAAAATTTTTTCAACTTGAGATAACATTTCATGTAGGTATCTTTAAAAAAAATACTGAAATGAAAAATGAACATTCTTGATGGACTAATTCACCAGAACATAAAGTTTTATTATGTAAATAAAAAAGCAGCATCACAAACACTACAGTTTATGCAGAGATACATCTCCACACAATTTTACTTACATATAAAAACACATAATAAGCAGGCACTTGTTAATGACTGTTGTATTGTTATTAGTGCAAAAACAAAAGTAGGCGAAAATAAGGCACTACTTCAAAGATATATTTTACAATTAGTTATGTACTGAAGTCACTATTGCATTGTTACTAGTGCAATAACAAAAGTAGGTGAAAATAAGGTACTATTTCACAGATATAGTTTACAATTAGTTATGTACTGAAGTCACTAAGCATTTCAATTTTATAGATCTTTGTTTGAGAAAGTTAAAATTAGCTATATAAGATAATCAGAACTCCAATCTCTTCTGAATGATGGCAGTAAGTTCTATAAACTCTTTTCACATAAAACAACAAAGTTAAAAAGTATACAAGATACACTATAGACAAAATCAGACTAAATACTAGAGATAAATAGTCTTAGATTGATAATTTCAAAATACATAAAATTATCACAAAAGTTACAGATTACAGCTTCCATCATTTTTAATAAACAACAGTGCAATCGGTCACAAATATTAGCTTATTAAGGCAGAGATGCAGAGGATGATACTTCTGAAAGTTCAGAAAGATCGGCATCCAGAGATTGTATTACAGATGGGGTGAAAGAAAATTCTGTACCATCAGATTCTTCACTACTGCTGCTGACACTGTAACAATAATTTCAAAATTGAACACAATTATAGAAATGCACACTATTGTTGATTGCATTCTTTGTTCAGCTTTGTCTTTCACATATCTACACTACTAAAAACACTTAAAAACAACTGGTTTCCAATATTACACCTATGACAAGACACAAACTATTGTTTATATTAAATGACATACCTATGTTCATTTTATGTATAAGCATTAACTCATGGGAGGCAATGATATTACTTAACAGTAGCTATGCTTCGTGACAACTAAAGCGTAAGAGTACTGATTACATCTTAAAGAGCAGTTGAAGACTATACTTCAGACTTAATACTGAGAGTGAGTTATTCTCTATTTGTGACATTTGATGAGTGCCTATATGTAGCAGTAAACATACAGAGTAAAATGAAAAAAAAATATTTATAGTCATTACCCTCAATTAGAACACAGAAGTAACCTATTCTAATTCTTTACATACTGCTAAGAGTCAGGTATAAAATAATAAGAGATATTCAATGAGGATAAGAAAATTCCAATTTTTTGGAAATTACTTTAAAAAAATGAAGAAAAAAAACTAACAATGGAATGATCTATATTCATTCTTTCATTTCCTCTACATCCAGGAGAAAAAATGTGAAAATCAATATTTCTGTGATATTTAGTTTTTCTAAATATTATTGTAGTTGGGTTGTGTTAGAGGTAAACATTCAGTTTATATTAACTTGTTGTCAAAGCAAGCAACCTACACAGATGTACACTAAAAATATACCTAGTAATGATCATAGCTAATTAAACATATTGTTAAAACTATTTCACAACTAATAATTAGAAAGTATTGTTTTATCAATTGGGTACCCTCTTTGTTAACAATACACCAAAAACAAAGTATGCTAAAGTTTAACATAGAAATGACCAATCAAAATACATGATTCACATTGGAATACTATTAGATTATTCAATCTCAGATACCTGATATTAAAATACATAAGAAGAGCATTGATGACTGGTAATGCCTAATGAAACTACCAAACAAAATGTTAATACAGCTTACAAGCAAGCTTTAACAACTTAAGAGTTAGTGAAACAGAGAAGTACACTTCTTAACAAAATCTAAACCACACACTTAAGTTCCATTTTTAGTTCATTATTCTATTTAACTACATAATAAAAATGTTCTACTTGTGTATAACATTAAAATGTTACTTTAACTGTACGACTGCTGGTTGCTCTACTGATTGCCACTGGTACTGCTTCTTTTATTAACCAGAGTACCACTAATGGTCAGAACACAAGTGAGGTAAAAAAAAAACAGGAGTTTGTATTGAAAATACCAGTGGTCAGACCAGTGACACGTGTGATTAAGATAATAACATAATTATGATGAATATTGAAGCGTATGTTTCTCACCTGCTGGGATTTCTGTCCACTGTAACTGTGACATCTTGCTGACTGATAGCAGTAAGCTTTCCCTGAACACACAAAATTTCCATCTGGTTGTCGTGAGAGGAACTAATGTACACAGACCCAATGAACATGGCAGGACCCAAGTATCGAGGGTTGGCCACTTCTAAGAAGGTGTGAGCACCCCTGATGTCAGCAAAAAGATACATGTATACTATGTAATTAGGAGAGTACTTGTGATACGTTAAAATGTTATTAAAATTAAGTCACATTATTCTGTTAAAAATTAATCTGAGTGTCTGTGAAAACTTTCATCGAATACGAATAAATATCTATTCTCTGAACATATTATATTATAAGCTTAAACGCAAAAACCAGCAGTTTAAAACAGATATGGTATGTATAGCTATTGAACTATGACCAAAATTTACCCTAATATGAGCTTAAAAATATTAACAATCAGAAGTTTTTCAGAATGCTACAGTTCTTAAAGTAACTAAATATTGATCAAACAGATTAATGTTCCTCAATGGATAAATGATATACTTAAGGATGAAAATTATCAAAATCGTTTTAGTAATATTTCATTCCTGGTATTTACATCATTTTACCACAACATTGTAAAATATTAAATACAAAAAAATCTTACATTTCAGTACTCTGCTGGGGTCGGATCTCCACAACCTCTACAGAATTGAAGTGAATCACAAACAAGTATGGTGCTCGATAAGCTATGATAAGAAGAGAAACACATTTTTATGAATACTTTTTTTAGGGTCATAAATTTGGAGATAACTTTTAATTCTTATGAAAAACGTATCATTAAATGAACATTAGCCTTTCAGGTTAAAGACTTTGCAAACCTCATTGCTACATAATATCAAGCTTTATAACTTAACTATTCAAAAAATTACTTTGAACTCAAACTGTTATAACTACATGCAGAAAATTTGGCACTCACTTTTTAATATTAAAAACTATCATCTAGCACATACTTGTAAATTTCTACATTTAAATGTTTTATTGCAATAATGATAAAAAGAAAAAAATATGTACTTGTTAAATAACATCATGCAACTTTCCTGCCTTATGTCTGTATATACATATCTCTGACATACCAAGATAAAAAATTCAGCAAAACTACTAGCAAAGTTTGGTTTTACTGATAGCTTGAGGTAGTTTTACATCATAACGTCAATGGAGCAATCAAGAACTCCAAAACACAATTTACATCCAACTCATGTATGGAGTAGAGTTTATATCAAAATAAATCTAATGTGCCTATCTAGTATCATGAGTGTAATTGTACACTTATTTTAAATCCAATCTTTGTATAAATTTAATGTTTTTCCATTAAAATCAATAATTGGAGTTTGTAGATTAGTGGTATAAAATGATCACTAATTTGACTGTCTTTATTACGACTCATAACTTAAGCATAGTCCTGGACTTTGTATATATTCAGTCACACTCACTTAGACAGTTCACCGCTCCAGGATAGACAGAAGGTATTTTTCCCACTACTTGACTGAGCATTAGGGTTGGAAAAAAAAGTAGCTACATATACTTGAGATGAGGTAAATATTTCACACAGTAAGAAACAAGTGTATGGTGCTCTAACAGTTGAAGTTAGAGTTTTTCTAGATATGAAATACTAGCTAGTATGTATCAAACTTTAAGATTCATGTTGTGTAGTGGATTGATACAAATGTGTGTAGAAAAGTTCAGGGATTATTGAGATAATAGTAGCAACATTAGTTCATGGAAATCATGTGGTTTTTTTGTGTAGTTTTTTAAATACTGTATTTAATTTGAGCAGGTTTTCTTAGAAACCTGATTTAGAAATAAGGATAATGCAACTTTAGTAGGAAGTGTTCTCTATACTGTCCAACTTCTGTAGACACAATTTCTAATTATGTGTTTACCATAGCAAGTAATCCCATAACTAGTGTTCTAAACTTATATTATCTACCAGACAATTCTAATTGTTAATTCCTTGATTCTCGTATGCAACTTAGAACAAGTAACAAGAGTAAAACAAAGCCATGTATGTGAAAACACTGCTTAAATGTCGAAATTCACCTCTTATATCATATTCGCATAGGTGTCTTGGCTTTTAAACCCCTATATTTCAACCCCTTCTCAATTTACTGCTTAGATATTTTGATATATCATGAAGTTCTGTATAAAGACATTTTAATGTTAAAAAATAGTTCCAAAACTCAAAGTTGTAGATCTGATATAATGGTAAATAGTACTGAAAAAAGACTAGATATTCAAATAGAGTCATAATTTACAAGAAATTTTCTAAGAATGATCAAACTTGCTAAAATGACTTTTCTGTACAAAATGCAAATGTCTACTATCTCTTTTTCCTGTTGATGTTAATGATCTGATACTGGTGTAAAAAACATTTACATTTTTTATATGTATTTCAACTTGATACTACTTCTTTATTATTAGAGCCATTAATTTATTGTATATTTCAAATATATTCTTCAAAATAAACCAAAAGACAAAATATTCAATTTGAAGTTCTTTTTTTTCTTGTTATTTATTGCTCTATACATATAAATTAGATGTAGCTGGATGCATGCTTTAATTAATGTGTTGATTTAAACAGGCTACACTATCAATAAGTAAACCCATAATGTAAACATTATCAAAGTGTGCCTTCTCTTTTACTTTAAAAAATGTTTGTATAAAAATCTATAATACCCTGTACATCTGATGGAAACCAAAAAAATAAAAAGGATTTTGAAGCACTAGAATTGGTAAGATGAGGTAAAATAAGCTTAATTATAAAGAAGATTAAGAAAGAGAACTAGTAAGTTTGCCAAATCAGACAAAGGAAAATTTTCTCAATTATGTCATTATTTGAATACTTTACTTGGAAACAAAACTAATTTTGATTATTTCACCTCAGCAGATACACTAAGAAACTTCTACTGACCAAAGGCCAAGGGTAGTCTTGTCCACTTCATATCTTCTTTCCTAGACCTCTTGCCAAAAGAGTCTACAAACACACCAAGTTCTGTAAAACGAAATTAATTATAATTTGAAAAATTTTCATCATCCTTACCTTAATTTTTGTATACTTCCACAACCACTTCATCAAAAGTACTTGTATTATGCAGTCACTGAATCACACTTATACCTAAAATGAGCTACCCACCCTTTTTGTCACTTCATCAAAAACTAATTTTAGGCTAATATGGCAAAAACAAAACCAAAATAATGAAATTTATGGTAAAAGTACACCCTACAATCCTCTCCATACTAATCATGCCTATTTACAGTTAGTGGTAAATATTTCCAATGAAAGTCAAATAACTTCAATGAGCTATTAATAACACAATTCCCACTTTCTGTGGACCTGTTAAGTACTTTATAGAGTGCCTAGCTGAATCCACGTATAAGGCATTTGAGGATTTCCATATAGCTAATACTATGTTACTGGTATTCTCTGATCATACAAATTAGGTATGTGTCATTTTGTGACATCATGCAAGCACTTAATGGAAACAATATAAAAGTCAACTTGCCTACTGCCACACACTTAAAGCTCACCATATGCAAATATTGCAATTCCTGTCATGAAGATTTAGGCACACACACACACACACATATATATATACACACTGTAGCTTTGAAGAGGCAGATACAGCTAAAAAATACATGTTGGCTAAAACTTTAGCTAAAAAAATTAGGGTCAGCTGGCCCAGCTAAGTCTTATCCAAATGCTATTAATATACGAAAAACATCTATTTGAAATAATATTAAAATACTATCCTATTTGGAAATTATTCTTTATACAGTAAAAACATCATTACCATGGAAACAAAGTAAGTATTCTTCTGATGCAACTTGAAGTATAGATACTGGAAAACTGCGAAGTTGCGAGGCCCCATAGGCTAGAAAAGCAAGGCTTGTGTCTGAGACATCTAGGAACTCTATTCCAAAAAACAAAAAGCACATGTAAAGAAAACTGATTTAAGATATTTATTTATAACATAGCTGTTATATATTAATATCAAAACTAGCCATTTTTAACTAAAACAAATACTTGTAAGCTGCAGCTTAATGTTCACAAAGAACTTCTTATCTCCACTTGTTGCTTGCACAATTAATTGAAAGTGATATTTTATTATTCTTAATAAGCATTACTTTGTTTATAGACATTGAAAATCTGTTTGGTTAACTGACATAAAATAAGATCAGTAATATAGGATATTTGAGTTAAGATTACTACAACTATGTTATATGTAGTTCTTTCTATTTGCTAGTCAAAAATATCATTTCTACACAATACAAAATCAACAAACTATATATACAATGCATTACACGAATACTTTATTGGTAGAGAACATCCAATGCACATTTGCCAAAAATCATAATAATTAAAGAGTACAATATTCGGCATTTCCAACTTTAATGAGACACACGAGATAAGCTTATGCCAAGCCAGAAACCTCTAGTTCAGGCTTACATTTCCCTAACTTTGAATTGCTGACCTAATACCTACAACCTACATGGCTACTTTGAACTACCTAATGGTATTGTATGTCACTGTTATATAGTACTCTCACACCTGAAAGTATGGAATATGTTCGGCAGCATATTGTGGCTCAAACCTTGGACCTTTTGATCTGCATCCCAGCACTACTAACGATCAGGACATACTAGACCCAGTTAACAATATAACTTCTAAACTTTTTATAGTGTGAAAAATATAAACTTAAGATCAAATACAGTTTGAGCATCTTAGAAATGTTTCTTGAGGTGAGAAAACACCCTCTAATTTTTCTATACTTGAGAAGTTGGTTATTTGACATTTTAATTTTTAAGAGTCAAAACTAAAAATTTAATACTAATAGCAAGGAAAATCTGAAGTAAGGCACTGACAATTTGTTAGTTATTTCAGGGGTAACATACTACAGTAAAAAGATCAAACTATTGAAACTATAAATACTGGGCTACTGTTATCAACTACCAAAGTAGCAAGCGTATCTGCCCTCTGCCAGATTTGGGTTTAGCAGCCCTGAAAACCTACTTTTAGACCCCATCAAACCTAGTTGACTTCCAGAGGGCATTTTTGCACTCACTAGTAGGGGGGACATGTTATATAAATAACGATGTTTTCTGGGCCACAACAAATCCTCCTGCTAAATTTCATCCAACTAATTTCAGAACTGTTTGAAGAGTTAGCTGAATATACATACAAAACTACAAGTTACATTAACATAGGATAAAGCTCTTAACTTGTTATTGTTCCTAACATATAGGTTATTTGATAAAGAGAACACTCAAGATTTACAATTAAAAGGAGTACAACATTAAAATAATTACATGATAAATAATTTATTAAAAACAGGAATCATCCCTAAAAAGACTACATGTTTTGGTATTCTTACACAACTAACTTCAGAAGTAAAAGTTGAAGTCTGATCAAGACTTGTATAACTACATAATCATTTGAATTCCTTTAGTGCCAACTAAACTTAAAACACCCAGAATTTATAGAACATGTGTCCAGTACTTTATTTCTTCTAAACCTAGACCAACTCTTTGTTCAACACAATATCTTTGTTTTGTTTTTTCAATTCCTATTGTTGCTCTAATATTTAATTCAACTCATCACTCTACCTGATTTATCACTTTTAACATTACTCCAGTCTATAACATGAGATGTGTCTGCTACATGTTCTGCTAAAGCTGACTCATTTACTTTATATTTTTCTACTGCATTTTTATGTTCATTGATACTAAACTTCAAATTTCTGCAAGTTTGGCCAATGTAAATTTAACCACAGATTAGACCCCCGCAAATCACAAAAAGATTTTAAAAATCGAATTGGCCTTGCATATTTATAGATTATAGAGTATATAGGCCAAATTAAATTTCAAATCAAATAGAAAATGGTTTCTTTATTTATGTAGAGTACTACACACAATTAGTAGTGAGTATAAAAGTAAATCTTTCTAAAAACAAAAGATATAATGTACTTAAACATCTGGAAGAAGAATGGTACAAATGAGTGACAAAAGTATTCTTACAAGGAAATAGGTTCCAGTATATAGACTGAGTTAAAAGCTAAATTCTAAAGTTCACAGAAGTAATGTAGATTCGAAAATATCAAATCAGAACTCTAGAACCTCAAGGTTTCTCTGGCCCTACCATAACCACAAGGAATTTTATAAGTCCCACATTTATCAACTTCTTCTACCCTGTCTTTTATACCCATGAGAAAATTATTTAGTTTACAATGTTACACTGCATTCTATATATGTTTTTATTTTGTTATTTATTCTTGTTGATAAACCCTTCATGTTATCAATTTTACCCTCATTATTTACTGCTATGTTGATCAAGAGGCCCTGAATATAGCTTCTGTCACATGAACTCGTGTTCCAGTGATTAAAATCATAACCAGTTAACACATAAACTGGTTATTTCATGAAATATTTAGACAATACTACATACAAGTGTTTATAAACTCCAATGATTAGACCAGTTAAGTATAAACTGATCATTTCATGAAACATTCAGATACATACAAATGTTTATAAACTGCAATGATTAGACCATTTAAATATAAACTGGCCATTTCATGAAATATTGAGGTAATACTTGAGCAAGTCAGTTTTCACTGTAGCAAGTTACTGACAATTCATTTATAAACTGGAATATTTAAAAGGCAGGTATGAAACATTATGAGTCTCTGCCTATCATACTAGACTTTTTTTTAATTCTGAATTCTTGTGTGTCTGAAATTCCCCAGTCCCACAATTTTACACATTTTGTTAAGACCAAAGTATTCCAAAACTGACAATTCAACAGTTTACTGTATAATAGAAGGCTTCTGGACTAAAGTAACAGATATTTGTGTCAAAAACAATTTTACTCCAACACTGAGAGACTGGTAGTTTTAGTGGGTTGGTTCCATTCAGCATGTTGAATATAATAACTGAAACTTAGTTCCTATACTTTCCAGATTTCAGAATAACTTGAGTAGGTTTATAATACATTTAATCATATTTCTATGTAAGTTTGAAGTAAGTGGGTATGTCAAGCGGAACTATGTGGTTTTTCAGCGTTGACCTCCTCTAACAATTTCTTTTTTGTATTATTAACTGTATTAAAACATTAGTTCATTCTTGGTCTTCTCAGTATGCAACATGTATTTTTTTTATATAATGAGCATATAATAATAAAGTTAAACACATAAACAGCTAAAAAATAAACATCTTTACAGATTGTCAACTACCTGTATAGTGAAACCAACAAACATCACACATTACAGTAATACAATAACTAGGCTTAATAGTTTCTTTAAGATCTCAAAAGAACAGTTTGAATACTCAAAAGATAATATGTAAAAAACCTACCTTCCACACTGTGGTCTTTAAGGTCCAGCTCAAAGAACTTATCAGCTCCAAAAATGACACTATTTGTAGTAAAGTGGATACAACTACAAGGTTCAGCAGTTTTTATCTCCTGTTATATTAATCAAATAATTACTTATTGAAGAATTTATTGGTTTAAATAACAACTCAGAAATGTAAATAAGATATAAATATTCAAAATTTTGAATAAATTGTGATATACAGTAACTATAGTGCCAGTAACATAAATCTAAGGACACTTACTGAAAAGTTAAATTTTTTCTTTCTCAGAAACAAAAATTATGTTTCTTCTTATACAAACTGTTTAGGAATCCATGAGGTCTAAAAGTCTTATCTTTAAACCAGTAAAATTTTCCTTTTTTTTTACCTGTACAGATCATATGATAATCAGACTTAGATTGTTTGGATGGATATTAAATACTAATACGAGTCACAACACAAATTGCTATACATCAGATCTGATACCAAAAATATTCACAGAAAGTAACTTTAAAAATATATATTTCAGAATGTGAAGAGTGAAATAGAAATATTGGTTATGATTAAAACACTAGTTTTAATATATATATATATATGCATACATATACATACAAATACACACCTTACGCAAACAAAAAGTATGCAGACCAATATTCCATTTAAGTAGGAACACTGTATTGGATGTTGCAGCACAGACTGAGTTAGCATCTTCAGAGATTCCAAATAGGTGGCAGGCCTCAATCTCAGATACTGGCTGAAGAGCAGTCATTTCCTCATTAACTGTCATTTTATCTCCCTTGACCCATCGATTGAGTGTTGTTAATTCTAGCATCTTTAACTTCCTTTCCTCTCCTTTGCAAAAAATAAATAAAAATACTATAAAAACTAACAATTCCTACAAAAGGTTTAATTAATGAAGTATTACTATTTCATTATTTACCTTGTAAAAAAATACAAAGTAATGAAACATAACAATTATGCTAATATTTTTTAAGGTTCCTCGGGAAAAGAAACCGAGAAGGAAATGAAAATATATTAAACTACATTAAATTATACTAATTTGTTAACGACTTCAAAAAACAGATAAAAGTCATATATACGTGTGATGTTTATGAAATGCACCTTATTTCTATTTAAGAATACAACTACTATTAACTATGAATGAAAGATTGGATTATTCATTAACAGTGACCAGTTTTAGGGGTACAACCAAATGAGTACCCTGTGTGTATATTTATTTGTTATTATAACACCTTTGATTTTTATTATATTTATTCATTTACTTAGACAGCTGTTCTAAATTACGTGTATTTCTATTTCCCTGTTTTAGTATTTCTTAGCTGAGAAAAAGCACTAGTACTGAAGTACCTGTTATTAAAAGAACTACATTCAACTTTTCCAAGACAGCAACTTGGTACACACTAGGAACACCATCTATTTTTGTCTGCAGTGAATGGCTTGGTTCAGCCAATATATCAACAGTATACAGTCCCTCCATGGCTCCAACCAATATTAGCTGCAAAATACAATACTTACATTTAGTTATATGAGTTAATCAATCATTGTTTTATCCTGATATCTGTAAACAGAATATTGACTCGTACATGAAATCTTGAACAAACTAAGAAAGGTAATCATGTTTTTAATGTAATAACCTTCAACTGTTTCAATATAACATGCACAAAAGAGCAAAAAGAGCAACTAATAGCAAGAATGTTTAAAACTAATAAATTCACTTCTTTCTACATTATTTTGTTGTTTGTTAATAGTCATAAACGTTTTGTACATATACAACAACAGGATGTTTCAGGCATCAAAATACACTTTTTGAATATTACAGTATTAAATGTATATGAAATAAATTCCAATGGATTAGACAAACATGCAATAAAATTTCCTTTTAAATGACATTCTCATTTTAAACACTATAACGGTACATTTTCCTAAGTAATCACTATGTTACAAATATATGCTTTCCTTTGATTTCATTATTTGAATAATGTAATGCACTTCCATTGAGATCATACGTATGTTTGATACAATCACACTGTAAATGTCCAATTAACTTTTAAATTAAAGTATAATACACACATCAACTGTTACTTACAAGTGCTTTTATTACACCACTATACTAAAACTATATACTTGTCTTAAAAGACTGTACTTACATTATCATTTAGCTGACAAGTACAGTTGATGTCCAACCTATTTTCACCCTCCAAGTGTAAAATACTACTCCCAAGATGTTCCTAAAAAATATGCACTCCTTTTAACCTCTATAAAAATGCCACAGCTATAGAGAAATCCAGTTTCCAAATAGCACAAAATGATTGGATAAATTAAAACGTTTTCTTAATTTTCTTGATGTTGCACTGCAGCTATACTAAAGATTAAGTGATATCTCTCTCTCTCTCTCTCTCTATATATATATATATATATATATATATA